TGTTGTCTGAAATGGCTTCTCTATCCACACTCTGCAAATATTGCATGTTCCTTTTCTAAAGGAACATGTTTGCCATCGTTAGGTTTTGACAATTAATCGGGTTTGTTTTCTTAGATTCTGGTGTCCCATAGATGATGGGCTAAGTCAACCCTAACCTTTTTATCTTTTTGGTTTTGCTAAATAGGAGTGACCACATATACTGCATCCACAGAGAAATCTTTCTCTTCCTGAAAGCACTAAGTTAAAGATGATTAGGATGGAAAAAGAAATGGTGGTCTCAGGTAGCCAATCCATTGAGCCTCTCTTGGTAAATTTAGATTGGTTTTAACAACAACTTATGTTATTCTTTGTAAGTTTTTAGCACAACTCTTAATCTGTGAGAGTAAATGACAGTCTGGGCAGACAGAACATTCTCTTTAATTTTCTTCCAGTAACTTTCACTTAATGAGAACTTTATACCAGAGAGTGTACTAACTGCTTTAATATCTCACTTAATCCTCACACCAAACCTATGCTGTAATTTCTTTTATGGGCCCCATTTTTATAAATGATTAGAACATTATCCCAGTCATTCAGTGAACGGTGGTGAAGGAGCAGCTAGACCCATGTCCTCTGACTCCTGCTACATATGGGGCTGCCTCTGCCCCATCATATCCATGGTATCACTTCTCTCCAACTCTGTTCCCTTTCCATCTTTCCACATTCATATCCAAAATTCATATCCATAATTCATATCTAACCTTTAGGGACAGTGGACCCTAGGAAAAAAATCAGTACCCAAGGAAAAAAAGTACAGTTTGTATTTGAAGTCTCTACACCAAGGCCTAGCTCTACAGCATGTGGGTGAGTACCTGCCATGCCATTACCAAATAGTCTTTGGCATTTTTGTGTATGTTTGGAGAAACTTTAGTTGAAGTCAAATCTTTATTAGGTTAACTATTAGGTTAAAAAAGTAGGCTTTTTAGCTAATAAGAGCTGCTTATCCTGGATGAGAGATTATTCATAGTAAAATAATAATTATCCAGTCATCGTCTGTTTAACCACAGTCATATATCCTAACCTGATGACTTTTTAGTGGCACTTCCAGGATTGAGTGAGTTGAGACAGGGTGTCACCATCAAAGGTAGGAAAAATGAGGTCTTTCTCTGAAAGGGAGGAAAGAGCAGTTTTCATCCGTAGTCCTCTTACGGTGTGTGGTCTTTTTGGAGTTGTACATAGAAGTTATTCTAAGATTTAACTACGCAGACTTCATGGGTGTTGCCCCAGGATTTGTATTGGCCTTTTCATCATGTTCAGTTTAGGTACAAGGAAACTACCACTATTTGAGAGTATTTGAGACTTGGGTGTCAGACCTGTCTTTGAGCCTTGACTTTGCCACTTACTAGCTTTTTAATCTAGGGCAAATTCAGTTTAGTTTGGTTACTTGAGTAGCAACTTATCTGTAACATGAGGATAGTTTTCTGTTCATTGGGTTTTGATGAATAAATGAATTAAGTGCTTAACACAGTATGTGCACAGAGAAAATACACAGTAATTAAGAACTCTTTCTGTCGTGCATACTGATGACTTCCACATCTTTTTGTCTAACCTGGTCTTCTCTCCACAGTATATTCTAGGTTGCACACATGACTTCTGGCAGCCTAAGCTGAACCTTTCCACCTTTATACTGTTTCTGCTCCTCTTTGATTTCTGATGTTGGGGTGATATCATCACTTTCCACCCAGTCTGCCCAAGCTAAATACCTGGGAATCATTCTGGATTCTTTGTTCTCTTTTCCTTCCCTCCCACCCTCAATAACACCCCTCCCCCCCCCCCCCACCCCCCCCCCCCCACCCCCACTTCTAACTAGTCACCAAACTGTCCATTCTTTTTCCACAGCATCTCTAATTCATCTCATGGTCTTCACCATCGCCTGCCTTAATTCAAGCTTTCTTCTCTTGAGAATGTCCTAGTGGTTTCCCCCAGAGGCACTTGGTTGACTGCCTGCCTTGTAGGTGTTAGATTTTTCAGGATATCTGACTATATAAAGCCAAAAAGCTGCTAATATCTACATGTTACTTGATTGGCTTTTCCTTCCCATGTGGTTTTACTGCTTCCTTTTACTTATTTATGCTTTTATCGACATCCTGTGTACCTCAGCTTAAAGACTTATCTTGCAGAACTCTCCATGGTGAAGAAGAAGCTGCAAGAAGAAGATAGTAGTAGGGACAGCAGCTAAATGGCCTCAGCCCAATGATTAAGCTGCTTGATAGGGACTCTGAAAGAAAAGACAATTACTGGTTCTTGCTGCTTTGAAGAGTAGGCTACATGTTGGTTTTGATGCCATTATTCTTTAGTGTTTGAGAGTTGAAAAGGTAGTGAATTAATGGAAACTACTGAAATAACCCACTTAAAATACATGTCCAATTTTTCAATAGTCAAGACTGTTAAGTCATTGTATGTTAAGGAAAGACTAAGGAGAGCTAGGAGTAAGTTGAATGCAGTGTTCCAGGGAAGATGAATCATGGCAAGTTGATCCAGTAGCAGAATTGCCAAGTAAAAACTAGGGATGAAATGGGAAGCACATGTGAGGGTTCTCTAGCCTCTGCTGACATGTAAAGCCAGGGTCCCTTCTCTTTTGGTTTAAAGATGTGATAGCTGAAAAAGCAAGTGAAAATTTCCGATTTTGCTTGGACTACCTATATCGTAATTCTTTCAGAAACTTTTTCTTTTGGGATTTGGATAATTTTGTCAGCTTTTAGTTTTTGTTTCTATTAGAAACTTAGCAGGTGTCAGGTAGCTTTAGAAGACAAAGCATAAAAGTAGTTTCAGCGGTTACAGGCCCTTGAAAGAGGCATTTTTGTTTATTCTGTCAGGTAAGTGCTTCATGGGATATGCAGAGTTGAACAAGAGTTTACGAGAAGTGTTATTAGTGTTCTCTTTGAGTGTCTAAAGTAGAATTCTGCTTCTCAATGAGGCTTTCTATGGGGAGGATTACCTTCAGGAAAGGTGGATGTGCACCTGCCCCACAGTTGGCTTTTAATTTCGGTATTTTTGTTGGAAGAGATTGTGCCCTTAGCTGACTTTTTTCTTTGTCACTATTATACATATTCCTTTGAAAAGTGTTTTTAATACTTGGAAACATTTTCATAGTTCTTAAATTTACTGCAAAATTAAGATATTTGTATAATATTTGACAGTTCCTCCCTCCCCATTTTATGTTGATGCTTCTCCAAGAAAGAAATAGGTACTTGAAGTTAAAGCTAACCTTATGATATATAGATACAGATATATAACTAATGAATGGAATAGTTAAAATACCTGAACATTTCCCCCATCGTTAATATTATATATAAGTGTTTAACATAAAAGTTGACTTTTAGGTGTTTTCTTGAGAAAATTAATGTAATTCTGTTGAAACCAATATACTTAGACTTGAAAAAATCAGAATGAGTTTCCAAAATCTGGTTTAATTCCAATCTGGGGAGGGGAGGGCATTGTGAAATACATATGCACAGGAACCTAATCAATGCTAGACAAACAATGTATTTAGTTTACAATATAATAGGATAACCATAAATTTGAAGGCTCAAATTGAGTCCATTAGCGGTACATACAGTTTTCCATTTGGCTCAAGTGGCTACTGAATATCAAGTGATGCTGAGTTCCTCCAAAGCACCTAATGACCCCCCCGGCCTTGGAAGGAGTTTCACCACAGTCTCAGAAGAAATCCCAGTCATAAAGGCCTTTAACTCTTTTGGCCCTTGGGAGTCACTGCTGCCCAAATACAAATGCAGGCCAGGGATTTCTCGTGGCCACAAGTTATTGCACAGAGAGGTCTGTTCTAAGCCAGACTCTTATGGCGAAGAAGGTGTGAGATCAGCCCTTAAATAGTGGTCTAGCATTAACGTGGTCTATCAAAGCATGTTAAGAAAAAGCTCCTTAGTGATTATGTACCAGCTACTAGTTTTGCACTAACAGAAAAGGCAATGTGGCAGCTTCACATTTCACATGAAAGACTAGCATTAACTGGGCCTGGTGCTGGCTTAATTTTCACATAAATCTAGTGATTATTTTAATTTAGACCCAGGAATCAATGATTTCATACCAGTCTTGTCTTCACATCGGTTTGTGTAGCATTTAAATTGTTATGGGTTAATGACTAGGCCATGAAGGCAAAAATGTTTAACTCTCCTTTGCCAAAACAGAAACAATCCCTGTTCTGACTCCTGTCCAGTTTCCCAAAAAACAAAACATACATACACCTGTTATTGCACATCTTTCACACAGACTTGTGTATGTATAATATACATATATATATTTTAAATATGCTACACATAAAAAAAGGCTATGGCACTTTACATGTTTAACAAAGATCATTACACCACAGATGTTTGAAAACTATACAAAAATCCTTACACAATGTAACAATTGTTGAATTAGCACACAGGTTTAAAAGAAATCCACAGAATCCAAGGCAAGTATCTCTGCCTTCTTGGAGTTCATTGAGAAGCCCAGCCCATCACAAAACTTTAAGCGCAGATGCAGGCAAAAATAAATAAGACTTTTCTGGTAGTAGTAATGGTCCAGGTGTATTAAATTTTTGGATTGAGGTGATTAGGTGATTGATATTTATTAGGGAAATGTGGTTCAACAATCCAATTATTTAACCTATGTCTAATACATTCCTCATATTCAGTGGTTTTTAAAGAGCTATAGAGTTTTGGTGTAGACTAGCACGATTTTAAGGTTTCATTTTTCCCAAAGCCTGGCTAACGGATGGAAGGTTTAAAAGGTCCAACATTAGTTCTTACTCTGTCTCTGCTACAGAAATTCCATCTCTGCTCTGCTTTTAATTCAGTCAGTGTTTAAGTACTTTGTAGTGGTTTGGGGTGATGCGTGTACATGTGCTTTGTTGTCTGTAGCATTCGGATTAATGAGATAAAAACACTGCCGGGTGAATTCCTTCTGGCCAAGAGAAGTAACGTTTTCACTTGTGACCACTGTTTTATCAGGTGTTCTGGAGCTACACCACCACCTTAGCCAAAGAGCAGTCTGGGAGTAAAGATGATGGCCATTCTCAGAAGGTTCTCAGGGCTTAGGACTTTAACTTGTCTGTGAAAAGGGAGTTAGAGAACCCATTTCCTAACACTGATTTTGGAGCCAATCTGCTGATAAAAGGAATCCCCCTTGGCTGCTGTTTTTTGGAATGAAAATCATTGCTAAAGGTTAAAAAGTAGTGACTTTGGGCACTGGAAGTTGGTTAGAGCATAAAAATACACAGCAGGGATAGGAACCCTGTCCTTCGGCTTCCATACCCTATTTCTGTGTGGTGTTAGGATTAATGTTTCCTGAGCCCTTACAGTAGGCTGCTATAAGGCTATTTACTCCTCTTTTCAAAACAAAACAGAACAAGGTTGTAGGACTTAAATCTTGCTTATTCTGAACTTCGGTCTAAGAATGGTGAACCAATTAAGGCCTGGTTCTACACCACCACCCCTCCTGCCCTTAGCTCTTAATCTGTGTGATAAGATGGTTTGTGGTATAGGCCAAAGGCCAGAAGGGAATAAAACTTCAGTTGCCCCATTCCATCTACACATAAAGCAACTGTTTGTTTTGCACCAAGGCATGGTTTTAGACTCAGCCTGGATATGATTCACTATGGGCAGTGTTGTAAAATCTGAATCTGGTTTCTGTGCCTGGTGGCCCTTAGCATACAATACCTTACCCAAAGAAGGTACTAAGTCATTATTTGTTAAGCTTTTAACACACAGCAAGCTCTCAGGGAATAGATTCACAAGCCCAAATAGTCCAGTACTTTTAATTCTTCCAGAAATCTCAGGGGTCCACTCCACTTGCTTACACTATGTAAGGAGTGTTTCTATATCATTCTGCAATTCTGAAGCTCTGGGTAATACCAGCTAGGTTCTTGCCACTGAGATCATTCCAAAGTACATTTGAGGTGGTGGCTAATACCATTTTTCTGAATCAATTTTACTGGCAATTCATAGAAACTAGATTTTAAGTTTCTGAATCCCTTTTAATAGTGGTGTTCCATTCTTTTTGTAAAGAGGCATAGGCAGGTGCTAGGCACTCTTGTTTTTGCATTAAATTTCTACTCTGTACTTCTCTGGGTATGAAGGTTTGATGCAACTCACCTACTGAAGTAATTTAATGCTGCAGTCTGCTTTCAGAAATAGCACTAGTAACTGGAGAAACTTAACTCCCATGACTAGCTCCTTTTTTTCCTGCAAAGAAGGTCATTCTGCACTGCTGGGGTTTAAATATAACTGACTACCACATGGTTACCAAACAGTGGGAGAAGGTCTCCCCACAAGTGCTGAGATTCTGGTAAGTTCTCCCAGTGAACATCTGAATGAGCCACAGTTGGCTTGGAGACCTCTGTTCCTGGAATGAGGAAACAGGGTGAGGCTTCCTTTTGGCAGTCAAAGCTCGATCCTAACCCTAGGAGAAAAACACAGGATCTCCTTTAGACAAGGAGACTGGACCAGTACTGGTGCTAGCCTGACTGCTGGGCAGTGCAATGAATTTGTCTTCCCTAGCAGGATTTTTGACTTTCATTCCCATGATCATATCGGTCCTTATTCTTCCCTTACTCAGATTTCTAAAATCTTGGAGAGACGTTCAGTCAGTCCAACCCTACCCCGGAATTCAGCCTAGAGCACGTTCCACAATGGGATTCCACACTGACCTGCTGACCCCTCTGGTCATATTATGCCCTCGAGCACATAAGCTATCCCCCGTAAGTATGCAATCTTCATTTTAGTCTCAGAAGAACAACTAGGAGGAGACCAAAACTCCAACCCCAAAACCTCATTCTGAGGCAGGGATGCTTACAGACATGCACCCTGGTGGCAGAAATACATCTCAGAATAAACTGCACATGTAGCTCTGGCCTCCTGTTACCAGACGAACTGCTGCCTTGATGGTTTAGATCATTCTCCTTTATGAGCCCGGGAGAAGATAGAGTCGGACAGACTTGTCAGCTGTGTGTCAGGGTTCGTGCAGTAGTTTCATATTCCACCTCTGAGAGTTTGAACTGCGGCCCTTGAGTGCAATCACTTAGCTGGACGTTGCCCCGCACTGGTCCTGTTAAGGCTTGGGGCCATGGAATGTAGGCTTTGGTAGATAAAGGCTAGTTCTTCACCTGACTCAGACGATGAAACCAGAGGAGCACTGTTTCACAAGGTTACCCAGGATGAAAATGGCATGTCGGTCTCTTCCAAACTAAAGGAGGCAGATAAGATTTTTCCCCTCTTCGATTTCTTCCTGTACTTTGTCACTGGAGGTTGCAATTTCTGCTTGGGCGGAGAAGACAGCACAGATGAAGGTGAGGACTGTGCCCCCGATGGCAGTATAAAAGGCCCAGCCCAAGGAGCAGTCTCCGGGCTTATAGGCTGACGCATAGTGTCCACAGTAGCCTACGGCCTTTGGGCAGCCCCAGCCGGCCGGGTAGAGTATCAGACCCAGGATCAGGAACAAACCTGTGAGGCAGGAGAGAAAACAGGTGAAACCCCCTGGCTTTACGGTATACAGCGAGTAACCGGAGAGGCTGGAACTGCTCCTCCTCCTTCCCCCGCCCTGGGCAGCGGCATCTGTGGGGTAGGAGCATCAGGGACTGTCCCATGCAACTAATCTGACCCAATCAAGAAATGGCCATCATTTTCATAGTGGTATATCTAGCCTCTTTGGTGGCGGTTGGAATGTGAATCCATTAATAGTCTGTCTTCTAGAAAAGCAAATTAAACCTGTTACTATTTCTTCCCACAAAACTCTTATCACAGTGATCATTTCCCTTTTGGTCTAAGGCAGAGGCTGGCAAACTAAGGCCCCCACAAGTGAAATGTGGACCGGGCTCTATAAAGTTGTTTTTCTTTTAAGATTTTATTTGAGAGCAAGCAAATGAGCACAAGCTTGGCAGGGGGCAGCGGAGCGGGGGTGGGAGAGGGAGAAGCAGGCTCCCCACTGAGCAGGGTGCCCGAAGAGGGGCTCAATCCCAGGACCCTGGGATCATGACCTGAGCCAAAGGCAGATGCTTAACCGACTGAGCCATGCATGTGCCCCTCTAAATAAATTTTTATTGAGATGTACCCCGTGCCCATATGTTTATGGACTTTGCCTATGGCTGCTTTTGTGCTGGAACAGCTGTAAGAGGATGGCTTATATTTTATGTGGCAGGAGAAAATGACACCTAATATAAATCAAGATTGCTAACTTATTACCCCCCCACAAAAGCTGTTTTTTTAGATACCTTGAAGCAGCAATTCTATCCTCCTAATTTAATCATGGTTCTAAATTCTCTCTTTTCCCACCTTTACTGAAGTTCTCCAGGTTTTACCACACCAAAGCTTCAAAGTTATTTACAGGCACGCTCCCACAAAAAGAACATGACTGAACCTGTGGTAGTATTAGGCTTGAAGGATGATCCAGGACAGGGTTTCAGTCCACAGATCACAGCTCTCTTCATCTTACAATGGCATCTTCTTGCCAGGCCTGGCAGTTCAGATCTGATTTTGGATCTGATTTTCCCTACTTCCCAAATTGCCTTAAGGAACTTTCTAGAAAGGGATGGAATATAGGAAGTGGTTCATATATTCACTGTCTGAAGAAGAGTGCTTCCAAAAAGAAGTCTTTCTAACCCTGTAATCCTTTATTTCTGCACAGGTCAGAGAGCTGGGCAGCAGGTAGGGAAATGCACTCCAGGGTCAGAAGTGAAAGGACAGCTGACTGAGGCATCCCAGAGGGGTGCTGTTAGAAATGACTGGGAGCATGGAGCTAATTCCCCCAAGAATTAGACTCCCAGTGGAGAATGTGTTGGTACTCTAGAATATGCAAGGTTTCAGCAGACTTGCTAAGAGAGGGTTGGTTAGTAGTTAAGAGCTCTGAGGTAAGGAATCCAAGCTCTTGCCATTTATGAAGTGGGTGACCTTAGGAAAGTTTCTTAACTTGTCTGGGTATGATTCTTCACCTGTAAAACTGGCTACTCCTTAACTCCTAAAATGGTTATGGATATTAAAGTGTGTAAAAACATATATAGTTTGTAACAGTAACAGCCATAACAAAACTGGAACATAGACTAGCAACTGGTAATAGGTTAAAGCCTTTGGCAGACCACTCCCGTATATAAACACAAGCAGTTTAAAGTTTACCATTTATGAGTAAGCATATCAGGTCTGTTTTAAGGGTATATTTTGAAAGGTGTAATAATTTGGGGAGAGGGGAGAACCCAAGCTACAATTTAATATCCTTGGAAAAATAAACTCTTCTCCATCTGAACATATCTTACTCAGCTGGGGAGATCTAAATCTACTCAGCTAATTCTTCTGTATTTCTAAGGCATATGATAAAGCTTAATTAATTCCCATCTCCTTCCCTAGGAAACCTCACCCAACCGAGGTAAATGGCCCTTTGGTAGTCTCCGCCCTCGGGTCCTCAGTTACCACCCTGGAAACAGCAAGGTAGCATCCCTGGGACTTCTGGAAGGATTCAGAGGCACTCTCTAGCTCACTGCCTCTCCTGCCAAGCTCTGGTGCCTGTCCCAGTCAAGGGAGCATTAGCTGTCTGTCCCTTTAAAAGCCCAGAGTGTTGGGTGCCTGGGTGGCTCAGCTGGTTAAGCATCTGCCTTCAGCTCGGGTCATGATCTCAGGGTCCTGGGATTGAGTCCCACGTCGGGCTCCCTGCTCAGCGGGGAGCCTGCTTCTCCCTCTGCCACTCCCCACTGCTTGTGCTCTCTCTCAAATAAATAACACTTTTTAAAAAGATCAGAGGATTCATATTTAAATTGTCTCCAATTAAATATTAATTGTACATGAGGTGCCTGGGTGGCTCAGTGGGTTAGTGTCTCTCCCTGCCTCTGTCAAATAAATAAATAAAATCTTTAAAAAATATATTGTACATATCATTTGTATTATGTGACTTAAGCCCAATAAGTAAAATTAATGTTTTTTAAAGATTTTTATTTATTTGACAGAGATCACAAGTAGGCAGAGAGGCACAGAGAGAAGGGGAAGCAGGCGCCCCACTGAGCAGAGAGCCCGATGTGGGGCTCGATCCCGGACCCTGAGATCATGACCTGAGCCGAAGGCAGAGGCTTAACCCACTGAGCCACCCAGGTGCCCCGAAAATTAATGTGTTTTAATTTGACTGGGACCAAAGACAGAAAGCATGGAGTATATGGTCCCCCAGCAGCTCTGTTCCCCAAGCTGGGATCTAGCTAGTCATAGGACACTCAGAATACCTTAATTTGGCTGTCTCAGACTCTTCCGGGAAGTAGGCAGTTTTAAAATAATATCATCCTTATTTTCACAACATCAGATTGCTTTTCACAGCACCGTCACGAACGTTCACTCCAGCACCACTGCTCAGCACTCCTGGCTGTCCCCCTTTCTAATAGCTCAGCCAAGGTTCCTGAGGTGCTTCAGCCCATCTTAAAATCCTATGGTAGCTACTGGCCAATTAATTTGTGAATAAGGACAGCAGGGAGACTTTCAATAACCTAGAGTTTGTCCAAAACTTCAGCTTGAATATTTATAAGCCCACAAGGGCAGTCCATGTGGGAGGGTAATAATGTGGGCTAGTATGTCTGCAAGCCCCAGTGGACGTGATCTGTGCTGATACACAGGCAGCCAACCTAGACAAACACCAAGACTGCCTTCTCCAAATCTGCAGAGGGTCAGTGGGTCAGAGGGAGGAAACTGTCCCTGTCTACCTTGCTCTAGCTGGTGACCTCTCCTCCCAGCACTCAGCAGAGTTGTCATTAACACCACTGACACCATGAAAATGCAAGACATACGTTTCAGTGAGAGAAAAAAAACAGTGGGCCTTCAGGTGAGCAAAAATAATTTAAAAATATTTTTCATCTTTCTAGTATTTAGACAAAGGCTATCTACTGAAGGAATTCCAGTAAGTTTAACAATTCAGGTTTTCTTTCCAGCAACTGCAAGAGTCCTTACCTTGCAACGTCCTGATTCCACTGCTCTCAGGCCCAGTGCAGCTTATGAGCAGCCTGGGCAGTGGTAGTTCCTGGGCCCTAATAAGCATTCCTTAGTCATCAAACACTACCTGAACAGAGTAATTTTGCTTCTTAGTAAAAGTGAGAAAAGAAAAAAACCATTAAATTTCCCCAACTCAGGGTAAAATCCAATCTTTTCTTTGTCTCATGGCCTTCAAAGCCCTATGATCCGGCTCGCTATTACCTATGCAAACTCACCTCTGCCATTCTCACCTGTGCTCTCCACTCCTGCCTTCTACTAGCTAGGGAACTTTTCTTGCACACAGTACCAGCCGCGCTCGGGCCTTTGCTTTTTCTCTCACCTGCAGTACTTTCCCTCCAGACAGCTTTTAGGCCACATTCAAATGCCACATTGTAGGGGTGGTCTTCCATTCCACTCTACTTAAAATTCAATCACCTACCTCCTCCCCCTTTCCTTGCTTTATTTCTCCTTAGCATTTATGACCAACAATATATTTGAGTCATATGAAGCTTGCAATATTTGACCATTTTTGACCTATAAAAATGGACATATCCTATAGTTCAACCTCCTGCTTTACATCTTTGGTTATCCATCTCTATCCTAGACTTGAAACTCCATGAGAGCAGGGATTTCTGTACTATGCATTTACCACTCTAATGCCAGTACTCAGAAGAGGGCTTGGAACAGAGTTAAACCCATAATAAAATCTCCAAACCACAGTGTCCCCCGTGAAAACCAGTAAAATAACTTGACAGATACCAATCAATGAGAATGAGATTTGTCAGCAGGAAAGGAAGGAGAGACTCTTAGCTGGCTGATTTAGTCTGTCACACTGTCCTGTTCCAGGGCTCTGAATCCCAGTGTTTAGAAGCAAACTTGTGCCCTGAATTCCAAGTAGGATTAATGACACCAACTAATGAGACAAAACTGAAGTCTTAAATAGGCATGTCAAACAACAGGCATTAGAACATACTAAGTCTGCTACAAACTTAGCATGGTTTCTCTGGTTCTCAGTCTGCAGTATACTCAGGGACTCTCAGCGTGGTTGTGGGTTACAGCTGGAGACCAAAGGGAAGGTGAAGTGTGCTCTGGATTAAATTTCACATAGAAGCCAAGCCAGAAAATGGTCTGATCTTCCTATGTACTTATTAAAAAAGTAGTTTCTGAAGTTAGGCCAGCCTGTAGTGAATGGTCTCTGGGGTCTTTCCACCACCTTGCCCTAATGCAGTATTGTTTTGGGAGGGGGACATCCTTGACAAAGTAAGCGACTTGGCCAGTCAGCTTTGGCTTTTCTGACGGGCATCTCTTCCCATGTGCCTGATTAAGCAACAGTTGGCCCAGCTAGGAGGAAGGAAAGCAGGGAGAGTGATACTGGCCACAGCCCAAAGAAAATCGTCACCAGCGAAAGAAACAGTAAGTGACTCAGAGCTGTGATAACCTCTGCCATGGGTCTACTTGCTGGGATGGCACCCCAGAAGGTACCCTCTGCTCATCATGGGGTCACGTGGGCA